TACATATGGTAGGTACAAAGGTGAGCTAAGTTTAAAATTTTGGATCATAATCCTTCCAATTATGGAAGTTTAAAATCGATCCACAAGTCAAGTTTTAGTTGTTTTTTCTAATAATATTTATTCAACTTTTGTATACTTGGCTAATTAATTGAACTTAACTCAGAGTAGCTAGTAAGGGTGCAGAGGGATGAGTACCTTTGTGGTAATCCTAAATTTTGTATTTTAGTGTAAACCTTGTTCAAATGCATTTTCAATATGGAAAAATTAATCATTTAAATCATTTAGACGGTTAAGATATAAATTTATTCAAGTAATTAATCTTTACATATTTCAAGTTTAAGTATTGAGATGTACTTTCAATTACTTATAAATTTGTTTAAAATGACATGAAATTAAATTTAAAATTTTAAGATGTTTGTTAATAAAAAGATATTTTGTTGAGCACATATCTTTGTTTAGATTTTAAATCAAGAAGTGAAATTTATAACTTCAATCATGAACAGAGCATTGGAGATGGGCAGTACTTGGAAAGTAAGTGCTTAAGATAGAAGGCTTTCCGGTTGAACAAGTGCTCGGGAAGGAGAGTGAGAGTGTCAAAGTTAGAAAACTTCCCAGTGTAGGCACCTAGATTGAAATGAATTTGCAATTTTAACGTGTCCAATGATTTGAGCTTTTAATTATGTTTATTAAATTTAATTACTATATATTTTTTATCGATTAATTATTAAAAAAATACTAAAAGTCAAACTGGTCCCGAGCATTAAATATTGGCCAAATTTCCCTCCCATTTTACTCCTTCCTCTTTCGGCTAACAGAGAAGATAAATGATCCAAACATTGACTATCTCTAACCATCCCACTATTTCAGCTGAAAGTCAGCTGCATTGTTCCTCTAATTGCCAAAATTCGGGATTTGAATCCCTGAATGTCAGGGAATTGAATCCTTAAAATTAAGGGATTTTGGCCCCAAATTAGCACAATAAGAACACAGCAAAATCAAACAGGGGGGGGGGGGGGGGCAATTTTTCTTTCTAGGCAAAATCTCAGTAAAAATCCTACACTGCCAAGATCTTTGCTAGACACTCTCAACAGCCAATCTCCCCCGCTAGCCGAAACCCATTCAAGCACCACCGTCCCTAAGCCATCCCTCACGGCATTCACTGCCAATCCAACCTCTCCCTAACCACAACCACCACCGCAATACTCCTACCCAAAAAAAAAAACCTCTGATACCCAAAAAGCCATTCATCCGAGATCCGTAAATCCCTTCAACCGAGCTAAAAGCCAGCAAGAAAAAAAAAAAAAAAACCACATCCCCTATCGGGGAACCACAGCACCACAAAGCCAAAAAAAAAAAAGAAAAAAGTTCACGGTTTGAGGTGGTTTTGGAGCGAGATCTATGGAGGAGATGAAGAACTGGGAAGGAAAAAGACGTAGTAAAAGCCCAGGCCATTTAGCGGCGGAGGAAGCGAGATCTCGGCTCTTGAAGCCTCTGGCTCTCAGCTTAGATCTAGGGAAATTTACTACTTTTTGGGGGAATCTAAGCAGGAGGTTGAAACGAACGTGTTGGCGAAATTTGGGCTTAAACTGGCACCGGCGACCGGCTCAGGAAGGGGAAAGCTGTTCGAGAGAGAGAGGGTTTCTTTTAGAAGAAAAGGTTAAAATGGTTTTTTTTTTTAAAAAAGCTTGCTCTGTATTGTAAAAAAAAGAACACAAAACGATGTCGTTTGAGGAGTAAACAATCTGCACCTGAACCTCGATCTGGTTTGGGATCCGTGTGCCCGATCTGCTACCAACCATAAGCTTAAGGACATGATGGGTCCAAACGATCTGGTTCTGAACTAGATTGAACTTGTCGAATACCATTTTAGGCCGGGGGAAATCGTATCTGAATCGGTTTGAACGGCATCCAAATCGACTATTGAGCGAATCAGGTAATTTTTTATTTTTTATATTATCAATTTTTAGCTTTAAATTGTTTTATACTTAAATTTGTTTCGGACTTTGAGTATAGGATATTTATTTTTTTAAATAATAATGAAATAAATAATAATAGAATTATTGAATAAAGTGTTAAATTAAAATCTATTTACATATTAAAAATAATAAAAGTAATATATTAAGTGACAAATATTTCAAACAATAATTTTTTAAACGGTTGGAATATGTGATTGATAAACAAAAAAATCTTTTAAATATTTTACATTCTACCAAAATGATTATAAATTTAGAAGAAAATTTCAATAATACTTTGAAACAAAAATAAATAAAATTTTCCAAAATATTTCTTAAAATAAAATTTTCTATCTTTTTAATTATCACAAGTGAAATATTTATTGAATGTGGGATAATTAAGAAAATTATTTACTAAATATAAAAATTTAAAATAATGAATAAACTTGTTATAGATAATGATTGTTTAAATAAATCTTTCAAAATATAACTTTTAAGGAAGATTAAAAGGGTTCAATTTTCATTAATTATTGAAAGAAAAAATAATTTTAGATTTCATCAAAATGTTGGGATGATATAAAAATTATTTTTCTAAATAAAGGGTTATTCAAATAACGCAAAATAAATAAATAATAAAATACAATAAATAATAAAAAATAAATGTATTTATTAAAAAAAAATCTCTTAAATAAAAATTTTAAGAAAATTTGAAAGAGTTTTATTTTTCTTAATTATTTTCAAGTAAAAAAAATTTTTGAATGTCACTAAGGAATTGGGATAATTTAGAAAATGATTTTGACCAAATAAAGATTCATTTAAATAAAAAATAAATGAAAATAATGATAGATAGTAATAATAAAAAACATTTTTAAAAATAAAAATTAATTAAGTGTTTAATTCAATTAAATCTCGAGTAAGAATTTTAAGAAAAATTGAAAAAGTCTTATTTTTCTTAATTATTACATAGAGGTATGATTTTTGGATTTTACTAAAAGGTTGAGATAATCCTAAAATCAATTTTATAATAAAAATAATAATAAAAAAAATAAACAAACAAAAAATATAGAATTCAATGAGATATATGTAGTAATATATCTTATCAAATTGAAATTCAATGAGTTATAGACTTTCAATTACTTTTTACTTATTACTATGTTAGATAACCATGACACCATTTCACTTACAATTTTTTTACTACATTATTCCTACAATTTTAAATTTTATATAAATTATGGATTTCTTATAAATTTTGATAGACTTAATACAATTTTGAATTATAATTGATTCATTATAATATAATAATTATAGGTTATATGTGTTGAGAAATAAATATGCATAACACCCGCATACACAAACGATAGAGAAAACCTAAAACAAGAATAAAATATATTTTTTTCGGCCTAATCTAAAATAATATATTTCAAATTCAATCCACTAATAAATATATATTTACAACTGAGCCTTTTGAAATGAAAAAAATTATCAAAAAAATTTCTTACTCAAAACTTAATTTAAAATTTAATTACATCATTTTAATAACTCACTCACTTAATTATTCTTTTAGTGTCTAACTATTCAAGATTATCAAATTAAAAACAAAGTATCTTATTTATAAAGGTGAAATGTCTTATATTTTTACTAAATTCTTGATGTGGGATATAAGAAAACTCTCAACTCTTATAACTTCATTCAACTTTTGATGTAAGATTAAGAGATTCAAGGCAAACTTCAATAAATATTTTATTGACTTAAATCTTTAAACATTTCATAATAGTATTTGCAAAGCTGACATGTTTACTCATTTTTCTTTATTACATTTTAAGAATCCTAACAACTGAGTCTCCATTGAGTATGTACAAGTGTTTTTTGATACTATTCTCTTGTAGAATCACTCTACTATTCTTGTACACTTTGCACCAATCATTTCGTCCATAAAATGTATATACATGAGCAGTTAACTCACTCAAAACAATCAAATTGTAGCTACAACTCGGTGCATATTTTACATGATGAAGAGTCCTAACAACATTATTATGAAATTTAAGGCGAACACTCCTAATGCATTCAATCAGCACATTTTCATTGTTGGCAACCATAATGTTTTCATACTTTCCATTTTCTTCCAACTCCACAAATTAACTCATATCATTGCAAACGTAAACAGTAGCAACTGAATCTAAAATCTAATCTTTATCACCCTTTAATGTTTGATTCTCATCCACAAAAGTCGTTAAAAGTACATGCTAGACAAATAAATCTTTAAAACTAAAACTTTTGGAATGAAAAAAATCACCAAAAAAACTCTTTACTAAAAACTTAACACAAAATTTAATCACAATCTTTTAATAGCTCACTTACTTAATTATTCTTTTGGTATCAACTATTTGAGATTATAAAACTAAAAATAAAGTATCTTATTTATAAGAGTAAAATTTGTTATATTTTTATTAAATAAACTTTCAATTCTTATAATTTCACTTAATTTTTGATGTGAGATTAAAAGATTTAAAGTAAATCTTAAAAATATGTTCTCAACAACCATTAAAATGATTTGATAAAGAAAAAGATTTTTTTTGACATTGAGTTTCTTTGAGCCAAATACGAATTTAGTAGAAATATAGAAAAACGTTTTGCAAAATAAATTAAAAAAATTAATTTATTCTTCAAACTTTATATTTAGTTTTTATTGTTCCACTAGATAGAAGATCGGGAATAGAGATAGTGAGGCTTGAGTTTTTACCTCACATATTTTTTCAAACATTTTTAGTCAATAGGCCAAAAAGTTGACAAACTTTATATTTCATTCTACTCATTTTCTTTATCCTCTTCTCTTTTTTTATGTCCAAAAATTATATCCTTTATTATTATTTTTGAACATCTAGTATTCCAAATTAATTTTTATTTTTGAAAATTATTCTCAAGTATTTCAATAAATTCTTATTTGTAAGGTACAGAAAATATTTTATAGTTTTCATCTCGACCACAATAAAAATGAAATAAAATTTTATATTCAATAATTAGAAAATTTTTTCCCCTATGCTAACAAAGTTATAAACCAAAGGGTGTTATTCTTTATTGATATTTAAAATTCCCAGATGGGATGTACGATCCATAAGAAACTAAAATATTACAATACAAACACATCAACACAGTAATAGTCTATTGGTTGCCAAATTCACTTTAATAGTCTAAGAGTGCAAATGCACAAGGCACTTTATTTACTTAGTAATTTTGACAGCCTATTACATCAGCCATTAACACAGGCAATTAAGTAAAACTTATTTTCGCCGAAAATTTTGCGGCACTTTTATCGTCAATTTCAACTTCTGAGGTGCATCCGTCATAAGTACAGGTGCTATTCTTGCTGGATGCTTCCAGGGAATCTTTAATTTCATCCCAACGGGCGGCTGTAAAGTAGTCAATTTCTTTGACCAGAGTATAAGCCTGCGTTATACAGTTAATAATCATACGTTACTTTAAAATTTCTTTGTTTTGCAATTTTTAAAAAACTAAGAAGTAAAGTGCATTTTAATTTGGTAAAGACTTAAGATCATTATTATTATTATTATTATTATTATTATTATTATTATTATTATTATTATTATATACCTTGTTGGAAGAATTGGACTGAGCGTACCAAGCCACCATTATATCCAAGGATTTGTTATTGCTCTTTTTAATGCGATACACAACAGCTCCCTCTGAACTATTTAGATTTCCTGTATGTAGGAAAGAAATTTCAACAAGAGATAGGATCTGATTAGGATAAGAGGCCGTACCTTGCCAATCTTTGCAAGTGTGATATGCCATCGATGAACTAGTCTTATTTTTAACACTACAATTGGTGGTGATCTGAACTTGAGCCATGTCAGTGATCTGCAGTTAATCTTCTTCCTAATAGGTTTAGTGTTTGTGCGTGATCTGAGTTAGCCCATCTTTCATCTATTTATACTAGTTTGTTGTCTATGAAACGACAGCCATTCACTTATTACATATGTATCAACGTTACATGTGTACAAATTGCCAAATAAAATTTTTTTCTCTTTCCGTGGGTAAAAAAAATTGTTGGAAGAGACATGTAAATGCTCTCGTTTATATTATTGTGACACCAAAATTGTCGTTCAAACAGGTTTTGGGCTATGAAAAAATGGCCATTAATTGTTTTGAATAACATTGTAAAAAGGCTAGAACTGCATGTTTTGATATAATGACTCACTATTGATCATTCAATTTGATTTGGAAATTGAATAATACTAATTTTTGAAAATTGATTACCGAGGTAAAAATACTAAGTCTGTGTCTTTTCTATCTATTTTCGAAGAAATTCGTTTTGGTACAATTATTTTGGTTTTACAATATTGATAACTTAAGTGTTCATCTTATTATTATTTCAACTTATATTACTTAGTTTTTTCCTTTAGAGAGATTTGTATTTTATTCGTCTTTGAAAAGCATGTTGTTTTATAATGAATTTTGAATGAAAATTTGATTTAAACGTGAAATAAATTCAATAATTTTCATTTATTTGAATATCAATTAATTATTAATTAGAAAAGATGGTGTTGTTGGCATCACTTAATGATTCTTTAATTGGGAAAAGAAGATTAAAGCCCCTCTATTTTCGGAATAAAGATATCCGAAAAACCATACTTCGGAAACAAAACCTCTAAGCATAATAATGTTAATAAGAAATTGAACATCAAATAAAAGTCATCTCAATTATTTTTTGTTGTGACCTATCACCCGAAAATGCACGTTTAAAAGAAAAACAAAAAAGAAAATCAAAGTTTGTTTGTACCAAACACACTTGTTATACAAGACAATAAGCCGGTACACCAACAAAGCCAATTCAACTAGTGACAATTAAATAGTTACGAGAAGTTAGCTTTTCCTGCAAAGGAGAACTTTTGGTGAATTCGTCTGAAAATGATTCTTTTCTGGTCTCAAAATGTTTGAATAATTAAAAAGATTGAAACAAAATTGTCAATGTAGGTACAAGACAAATTGAGGGTAGTGGAAATTATTCAGCCACTTGTAAATCATCGTGTTTCATCTTATTTACAATTTGTGGATAAGGGGGCAATTCTTTGGACTCACAGAATCAGGCGACTGAAGATTATCCGTTGGAATCAGACCCAATAACTTAAACTCATTCAGTGGAAATTATCCAGCCACTTGTAAATCATCGTGTTTCATCTTATCTACAACGTCTGCATTGTGGATAAGGGGTCTGCATTGTGGATAAGGGGGCAATTCTTTGGAGTCACAGAATCGGGCGACTGAAGATTATCCATTCAAATCAGACCCGAATTTATTCATAAAAAAAAAGTCAATAACTTCTACTTGTTCAGTGGAAATTATCCTGCCACTTGTAAATCATCGTGTTTCATCTTATCTACAACGCCTGCATTGTGGATAAGGGGACGATTCCTTGGAGTCACAGAATCGGCGACTGAAGATTATCCGTTCGAATCAGACCCAAATATATTTATAGAAAAAAGTTAATAACTTAAACTCGCTCAGTGGAAATTATCTAGCCACTTGTAAATCATCGCGTTTCATCTTATCTACAACGTCTACATTGTGGATAAAGGGTCACAGAATCAGGCGACTGAAGATTATCCGTTCGAATCAGACCCAAATTTATTTATAAAAAAAAAAGTCAATAACTTAAACTGGTTCAGTGGAAATTATCCAGCCACTTGTAAATCATCGCATTTCATCTTATCTACAACGTCTGCATTGTGGATACGGGGGCGATTCCTTGGAGTCACAGAATCGGGCGACTGAAGATTATCCGTTCGAATCGGACCCAAATTTATTTATAAAAAATGTCAATAACTTAAACTCGTTCAACTTAATCGAATTTCTTAACTCGAAAATGATTCCAACTTAAAAAAGAAAAAATCATATACAGTCAGTTTCTATCGATGACAGTGCATTAATATTATTTATTATTTTTCTATATCAGTAAATTTTGTAATATTATTTGGCCCAATCTGATAAAGTCATTGAAATGAGTAAGTGAAACGATGCACTTTTCTTGTCTTATTTTTATCTGTTGTACTATGGTCGGTACAAAAGTTTATTAGGATAATATAAGCTATTAGGTAAAAAAGTCCTTAATAAATTAATCATCCAATTAATAGAAGCATAATCAAATAATCAAATAATTATATAGCATATAATAATTTATCATAGTTCAACTTAATCGATTTATATTCATGGTTAAAAAAAAGATGCACTAGTTGTAAAAAATTATAGATATATAAATTATATCAATCAACATTCAACAATTAATACCCATAGATCATATCAATCTCCTTTAATCATATAAAATATTCTTAAACCAAAAATATATATGCTTATGTTTATCTATACACCATATCTATGTGGATTCTCTTATTCTCTTCTAATCCACTTAAACATACACTCACATAAAACATTAATTTCTTGTCGTCGTATGGGATGTTTATCCAATAAAATTTTATAATTCTCTTTCATCATTTTTTTATATCTAACTCTGTAAAGATTATACTTATGTATAAACATACAAAATTATTTATTAAAAATCTATTTCTTTTTAGAATTTTTTTCCTAAAGCCTTCTTATCTATTAAGTAATATTTAACTAATGTCAAACAAATCTTTTTGAGATTTAAGTCACTATTTTCAATAATCTCCACTTTACCTCAAATTTCATCAAATCATTATTTTTCATATTAGATATCTTAGCTCCACCAACAATGGAAGTATTACACTTATCTTCTCTTTTATGTCTTCATACATCATGTAAATTGATCTTCAAAATGTAAACTTTAACTCCTCTCTTAAATTAAGCTCTTTAAGGCTTACATTTTCCTATGTCTCGAACTTTAAGTCAAATACCACTTATTAGAATCATGACAACTTTAATATCAGTTGTTAGGTAAAAAAGCTCCTAATCAATTAACTATCAAAGCTAGCAGAAACATAATCAAACAATCAAGCAACCATATAACGTGATTCGACCTAGTCAGTTTGCATTTGTGGATAAGAAAAAATTTTTTAATTGTAGAGAATTACAAATATACAAATTACATCAATCAACACTCTATAATTAATAAATATAGATGCTCTCAATCTTTTCTAATCTGATTAAATATTCTCAATCCAAACAAATACATACTCATGTATATTCATGCACCATATCTATATGGACCCCTCTCATTTTCCTTTAATCCACTCAAACATGCACTCTCATGATGACGTAATCCTCTTATAGTCTTATGAGATGTCTATCACACAAAACTCTACAACTTTTTTATATCTTTTTTTCATACCTAGCTTTGTAGAAACTTTATCTATTTATAAACATATAAACTTACCTATTAAAAATTTCTTTCTTATTAGAATTTTTTTTTTACAAGTTTTTTTATCCATAAAGTAATATCTAACTAATATCAAACAAATCTTTTATGCGATTTAAGTCATTATTCCCAATAAGGATAGCTAAGTTTAAAATTTTGGATCTTAATCCTTCTAAGTATGGAGGTTTAAAATTGATCAATAAAGTTTAAGTTGTTTTTTCTTATAATATTTATTCAACTTGTGTATACTTAGCGAATTAATTGAAGCTAACCTGAGTAGAGCTAGTAAAGGTGCAGAGGGGGTGAGTATTTCATTACCAATCCTAAATTTTGTATTTTAGGGTACATCTTGTTGAAAATGCCTTTTCAACATGGAAATATTAATCATTTAAATCATTGAGACGGTTAAGATATAAATTTATTCAAGTAATTAATCTTTTATAAATTTCAAGTTTAAGTGTCGATATATATATTTTTTCAATTACTAAGAAACTTGTTTAAAATAACACGATATTAATTTTCAAATTTTAAGATTTTTGCTAATAAAAAGATATTTTGTTAAGAATATATCCTTGTTTAGATTTTAAATTAAGAAGTGAAATTAGTTGGTGAAAGATAAGTACAACTTCAACCATGAAAGAAAGCATTAGAGATGGACAGTACTCAGAAAGGGAGTGCTCAAGATAAAAAGAGTGCTCAAGGTTGAACAAGTGCTCGGAAGGAGAGTGAGAGTGCTCAAAGTTAGAAAACTTTCAGGTTGAATAGGTGCTGATGATGAAAGCATTTAGTATATATAAAAATTAAGCTTTCAAGAAGGAAAAAACACTACGAAAGAAAGTGATCGATAAGAAGGTCTTCCTTAATTTTAACAAGTTAGATTTTAAGGAAAGCTTAAAATGCATGTTTTCTATAAGACTTTGTTAGACCTTGTCATAACGATTTTTTATTTAAGGGACTTGATCGTTAGATTTGAAGAAACTTTATAAAGTTATCATCAATTTTTTTATATTTATGTGATTAGTCATAAAAAAAATCATCTTTTAATAAAAATCTTAAAATTAATTAAAATTTACTAAAATATGTTTTTGATTTGCTAAATCAAAATTGGATCCAAGAGTATAATTATGAGTACGAAAGATATTAGCACTCTTACATCGTCCATCCAAAAAACAATACCAATTAAATGTATTATCCATATACTTTGATAATATGGTATTTTTTATATTTAAAGTTAATTTTATAAATTTATTTATGATAAATTTTTTTATTATTTTTGTAAAAATTAGTTATTTAAATATTTTATAAATTCCTCAACTCCTTGGCAAAATTTTTAGAAAATATCCTCATTCAAAAAAATTTTGAGAAAAATTTTGAGAAAGTTGACCATTCACAAAATTTTTAAAAATTTCATTTGAAGATACTTTTTATTCACAAATAACATATACAATTTAAAGTATTATAAATTATTTATGATTATTATTATTATTGTTATTGTTGTTGTTATTGTTGATGTTATTATTATTATTTATGTGATTATTTAAATAAAGTATTATTTGAAAAATTGATTTTAGGATTATTTCAATTCTTTGGTGAAAT